CAACAATTCAGCACAGCCAGGTCTAATCCAAAATATGAAATGTCCAGAAAAATGTCCGGTATATGAATTTCAAAGACACATCAGGGTCAAAACCTATACTCCATATGATAAATCAAGGGGAAAAAGAAATAAACAACCTTTACGCATTTCTATTGAGGGTTTTTAGAAGCTGTTATGTAAATAGTCAAACACAAAGTTTGATGTGTAACGTTCAGTTACTCAGTTACTAATCTGTAGATTACACATAAAACAATCTTAACAAAATATATAAATATATGAAAGAAGAAATAATTCTTAGAAACATATTTGAAAAGCATTAGCTGCATACCAATGCATAAAGAAAAATGTGAATTATAATTCCTTTTTGTACATATTTCTTAAAATGTTTTTATTATTTAAACGGAGGTTCATTTAATATATAGAAATCTATATTTAATGTGTTTGACAAATTATTCAAATTTGTTAGCTTTATCAAGGACAGTCAAACAAGCTTTCTGTTTACTTCCTCAAATAAAAAAAAGAGCCAATTTTATTATATTTTGCACACTTGTTTGACTGAATGTCTTTTCTCATCATGCAGAAACTCTTCAGTTTTGAGTGACGGATTATTAAATCATCATTAATCCATGTCAAATTATTTTGACAAGTTCCCCAGTAATTTTATGTACTTCCCTTTATAGCTCCACCCACCTTGAGCCTGGAAAGGGTGAAAGTAACGTATCAATATAAAATGTTCTCTAATAGTTAGTTAAATAGCTCAAAGATTCACTGAAGCAAAATGCATCTATAGGTCAAAATAAACACGATGAATAACATTTTAATGGAACACATCTTCATACAAAAATGTGGTTAAGTTAGAAATAGGTTGTTTTGACTAACACACTGAAGCTATTTGCTGTTGTGAAAGCATTTTGTAACCCGTCTTAATGTGATAAGATACTCTGATTATGTGTCTGAATAGCTGTTGTTTGTTTTCCATTCACAGGTTATCCCTCTGATTGGAGAGTACCTGCTCTTCATCATGATCTTCGTCACCTTCTCCATCATCGTCACCGTCTTTGTCATCAACGTCCACCACCGCTCCTCGGCCACCTACCACCCCATGGCCCCCTGGGTAAAGAGCCTGTTCCTGCAGAGGCTGCCCAGGCTGCTGTGCATGAGGGGACACACCGACAGGTCTGTGGCCCAAAAGCCCTCAAAATGAAGCTTTTTTGTCTTCAATAGAAACTAAACGGCGTGCAAAAGGGCATGGTTAGCTAGCTAAGCTAGCTTAGCTCTGCCATACAGTGGGGGAAATAAATATTTGACCCCTTGCTGATTTTGCAGGTTTGCCCACTTACAAAGAATGCTTGTTTTTCCTCATCAGATGGTTATCAATTTTTATAAATTCATATGATGTGATTTTCTGGAATTTTCTTTGGGATTCTGTCTTTCACTGTTAGAATGTACATATGATTAAAGTTATAGATCGTTGCATTCTTTGTAAGTGGGCAAACCTGCAAAATCAGCAAGGGGTCAAATACTTTTTTCCCCCACTGTATGGGGAATCTGCCATGCATCCACTGGCCGTGCCTCCGTCCCTCTTTCCCTCCCAGTTCTGGCTTTTTCCCCCCTTTTTTTGCAGCTTAATGGTGTGTGTGTGTTGGCACAGTGTTGGAGGCGAGCTCAGTCTTAAGGTTAATGAGGGGGGCCGGGACTCGGACATGCCTCCACAGGGCAGGACAGGAAAGAGAAATAAAGGGGAAAGTCAAATAAATTAGAAGACATTGAAAAGGGTTTTATAAAAAGGAAACGTAATAGAGAGAATGAGAAAAAACCGGGAGGTCGGGGGTCAGGTCACAGGGTCAGATCACCTGATAA